CGGAGGAAAATTCCGTGTTGCCTAGACCACGGCCTTGCCCAACACAAGTTATAAATTCGGGCACCGCCGGGAATCGAACCCGAGACCCCAGGATTACAAGGCCAGCGTTCTAACCGCTAGACCACCTTGGCGGTAAGCACGACACATAAGATGAAGAAATTTAGTAAATGGAACTTTTTTATACGTTCTGTACTGTACGCTAAAGAATTTTCAAATGTCTTTTTGTTTCTTATTTTCGAGGCGTGATGCTGACCACTCGCCCCTATCTAGTGCCGAGGTTAAGAATGAGGAGCCACACCTCCTCTTCTCCCCTCCTCCCCAAAGTGCCTATATTGCATACAGTGGGACATATTTACTTACTTTTACTTTAAAGGCATATATTCGTGTTCTGTGGAGTTTCCCTCCATTTCCGTAGTCAATTATGCCATTTTTTGGGGTATGGAATGGGTTTCCAGTAACGAAGTCACCATTTATAACATTGCGTTTATGGGAAATATGCGTTCAACTCTAGAGGGCTCTTCGGGGACCAATTACGTCGTGCGTGCGGGAGTCGCATGTGAACTGTTTAGTCGATAACGTGGACGAGACCATTTGTTGGACCTCGACGTAGATGGGTGGAGATTCAAACATATCTGAGGCGAACAGAATGTGAGGATCTTGACTGATTAACTCAGTATCTAGTGCTTGGAGTTATTTCGTTTCTGTGGAGCGATGACCCAACCATTCGAGAAATGCCAAAGCAGCACCACCCCATATTCGCTCTGATAACTGCAGCGGGAGCACCGATACGTAACTGAACACGAAACTGTCGATTATTCACTTTTCGACGCACTTAGTATAACCTACGGTCCTCCTCAAACCAATAATATCGTTCTGATCCTATGCCTAACATTGCTAAAAGTTTACCGACGTTTCAGAGGTCCAGAAGACAGCAATCTTCATTGATAATTCCGCCTGTCTCAGCCCGAATGTGCAGTGTCCTCACCAATTCGTTAATACTCGACTTGTCTCAGAGTTACGTAAATCCCGCTAGAAAATATCGTGTTTCTAGATTAATTAATTGTAATCCTGGGGTCTCGGGTTCGATTCCCGGTGGTGCCCGAATTTATAACTTGTGCTGGGCAAGGCCGTGGTCTAGACAACACTGAGTTTTCCTCCGGGGGCTTCCCCGGTTTCTCCGTGGCATCCCAACAATTACTCCATTCACACACAGAAGAAGGCAATGGCAAACCACTTCTGGATCATCTGCCAAGAACGTATATGAACAGGTCCCAGTCCGAGAAAAGGATGGAAGGATCCTGTTCATATGGACCTGTCGTCAGACAGAACACTAAATAAATAAATAAATAAAATAATGTGGCAGGACGTTTCCTCATAATTCAAAGGTCCAATGCTAAAATATCGTAGTTCCAATTAAACTTTTGGAACATACAAAAATACGTTTATAAATCCAAACTCTTGCTTAAAACTATACTACGACGTTGTTAAATTCCATTCTAATAGTGTAACTGATGACTCGGGCCACGGCGTTCTACAACGTAAGACCAAATTTCGGCCCAAAATTGGGGAGTCAACTAAAAGTAGTTCTCCATCTGCGGGTTAGACAGGAGCCAATAACCCCTATTAAAAAATAATCATGTTACGAGACACGCAGGACACGGACTTGGCTTTTGTGAACACGGTAATGAACCTTCTGGTTTCTTAAAAGATGACGAATTTCTTGACGATCTCAGCAACTATCGGCGTCCCATAACAAACTCAGTTCCAAAGATTTACTACTATTGAATATCCATTCGAACTATTTTTATGAGCCCTGAAAGATGTTTATGGAGGACGAAAGTTTAAGGACGACGACCAAATTGTAGGCTAGAAAAAAAAGGGGTTTGAAGAGTCACGAAAAGACAAAGACGAATCTAACGTAAACAAAACTTATTCCATAGAAAATCCCTTAATCTGAAGTTACGGCTTTTAAGACAAAAATTATTTGACGTCTACAAATCGTCCATACCCACACGAGATGTAATTTTCGAGATAATGCCCATAAACACTAAAGCAGTCTTCAAGGCAACTTCAGTTAAGTCTGTAATTTCTTAAGCAGTAATTGTTTTGTTTCGCAACACAGAAGACAATGCGTGAGATGCACATAAACAAATCTACTACATCTTCAGTTATCAGGCATCACAGTTAATCACGTGCAAGTTCATTCACCCTGTATATTTAAGCGTTCGCTATAATCTAGCTTCTGTTAAGCGCACTTTGTGTAAAGTACTTTACCGCAACGCGCAGTACACTTTTCAAGTCCCTACTTCAGAAATTATGCCAAAATCACGTAAGATGTTTTTGGGTTACAGTGGCAGAGTGAGAACGGCTGATAAAACGAGAAATAATTCTACGATTCTGTTACGAATTATTACGACTTCGAACCGTGTCGTAATAACATCTCAGAAAACAGCAAATGGTCTGTACCAAAATTAAGTTCGATAAAACGAAACGTATGCATAATTTCAAATCGAACGTCCATTCCTGGACACTGCTCCGGCCAAATACATCGGAGCGCCTAAGTTACGCAAGAGATTACCATAATTGGAGCACACACAGACAGAAAATGCTTTCTGCCTTTCGATATTCGCCTTGAGTTCTGACGTCACGTCAGCTTGAAGTTTTTGTTTGTGTCAAATTAGTCCTTGTGAACGAACACACATGTATTCACTGCAAGTTGCCTAGAACTCGGGGCTGCATTTAAAAACTGTCTTATGACATGTGTCTGCCTTTCTTACTTCATAAGGAAATGGCATCATAATGTCATGTGTCTGCCCCCAATTATTAAACAAACTGATAAATGTTCATAAAACTCGGAACGCACAACAATGGATGCTTCCTCGACCTCTGTGCTTTTTAATCGCTGAAAAAAACAGCAACAATACGAACTTCTGAAATGAGAGCGCCGATTGATGTGAGGTGCTCAAATTACGTGTGGCAGTAGACCTTAAAAAAGAGGCTTTGTTGAACGTGAAACAATATGGAATCACGAATCCATTATGAAATTTTCTAATTAAAAAATCATAACAAAAAGTGTCAGTGGAACCACGGTGCCGGAGAATTAGACGTAAATACGT